TTCGGCCATGGCCATTTATGGAGGCATGACGCTTCAGTTCTCCGAAATGACAACACATGAGTACCAAGAGCGTCACATGATGACGCGATGTCGTTGGTGTTGTTTATGTACTTATATAGGCTACAGTTGCCACGTACCTAATAGGTTATCTGGTGGCTATAGTGTTGTTTATCATAAATTTTCACCTATACATACATACATACATATAAATAAAATTGGAGTGTCTCAGAGTATAAAATTGAAGTAATATTGAAATAACCGTTTTTTACTACATACATATGAATATGTATACTGTACATATATCTACCAAAATAACATTTTTTATAATTTTTGTCTGTCTGTTTGTCGGTCTGAATGTTTCGGTTAATCTCTGAAATGGCTGTACTGATTTTAACGGGACTTTTTTTGCTATTTTTCTGCTTTATCAGCTACCTGCGCTGATGTAATAAGGAGTAACTTAGGCTAATTTTATTTTAGAAAAATAAAGTTACTTTCCACGCGGACGAAGTCGCAGGAACAGCTAGTATAATCTAAAACGAAATGTTGACGTTCCTTGTCAAATCACAACAATGTCATTGTCAAGTAGGTACATGAACAACACCAACGATATCACGTCATAACGTGCGGCTCTGGGTACCACTCATGTGTTGTCAATATGTATCGATGTTATATTAAATTAATACCAGTAACATTAGTAAATATAAAAACAGATAGTTGTAAGACCATTAGTATATCTATATAGAAGCAGCACGACATATTTACTTGTTAAGTTGGTGATCCATAAAAGTAAATAAATACTACTTGTACCAAAAATGTGTTCATATTTTAAAATAAAAAAAATATATAATTAATTTTTTTATTGCTATTGGTCATAGTGTAGTAGGGCTGATTGGATGCGGCGGTGTTGGTACATGCATCCTCGCATGTGTGCCTGGGCAATATGTACTTGAAAATCAGTAGATCGCAGCTTGAGCAATACATGAGCTACTGCCTTTTTTGCGTATAGCAATGCACACACACTATGTTACTCATATGTTGTTTGTAAATTGTATCTATATTCTATATTATGAGCAATGTGGTTATGTGTATTAACATTGTATATTTTTATTATTATTGTACCCCGTGTTTGTGTCCTTTTACACAAATAAAATTCTATCTATATATATCTAACGTATCTATAGAAACGTAGCTCTATACGAGTACGATTATCTGCTTAAGAAAGGTCGTCGCAATTAATCCCAGTCCGGAATTCAAATTAACCTCCAGGTATTATGGTGTCCTTTAATTAGTGGACCAAAAGGCACAATAATCTGTTTACACGAGGACGTCTTTAACGATTTCGGGAATGTTCACTGCCGTGTTGTTAACTTAATAAGATTGTCTGTTTGTACCCACTTCATTTAATCACTGCTGATTAACTGCCCTTAAGCATTATTATATTATTAGCTGCGATCCGCGAATTTGTCTGTATACAGGATATAGGTATTTATTGAGTTGCTATGTTAAGATATAATCTACATAGATATTTATTACAAATACTTAATAAAAATAGTAAACCTACTCACAATTATAAATTAAAATATATGTCACGTACAGTTTTAATCACACAATATGCAATGGAATATTGAATAAATAAAATAGAAGGTACTCAAATCTCTATTTTTAGGTAGGTATGCAAATATATATCTATTATGTAGTAAATTTAATAAAAATAGGATATGGAATTTGAATAATTAATTTTCACAACTAAAAAACCTACTTTTACTGAAAAAGAGTAGGTATATAGCTAAAATGCAAGCTTCAACATACGTAAAAAATATAATAAACAAAAATATTAACGTGTTCTTAAATTGAAACTATACAAGAATTAAAATGTGGAATCCAAAAACCGTGGACAATAGACAGCTTGAGAAGCGCGTGGTGGTCGGTAGGGTTCGGCCGACGTGGGCACGAAACCTTCCGGAAGCTAGAGAAGATGATGACAAAAGTGACCAAGAGGTTGGGGTGATGCCCCATAGTGAGCCCCCTTCACCAACTGAACCTTGGCAACAAAACCCAAAACAAGAAGACAAATACGATGTTTTTGGCAAGGTAAGTATTTCAATTAATAGCAAAAACATTTTTGTAATTTTTTGATATTCCGATAACAAGACCATGTACCTAAGTAAGTAATTTCAAAGTCGGTATGCTCATCATTTAGAAAAAGTGCAAAAATGCTCAGTCGCCTGACCTCATGCATGAGTGGGTAGCGACCCATAGTTTAGAAAGTCAGTATTGCGCTTGAGCATAAAATAAACGGAGTTTCGAAATTAAACAAAAAAACGTGCTTTTCTAATTTCGAATTCATAATTTTAAAAAATTATTATTTTTTAGTAACTTCTTTAAAGTCGTAACTACAAATCGTTGCAGCGGATATTGCATTGACATTCAATTTCCCAGGTGATGCTGCTGGGTGACAGCGGCGTTGGCAAGACGTGCATGCTAGTGCGCTTCCGGGACGGGACATTCCTATCAGGAAACTACATATCCACAGTTGGCATCGACTTCCGGGTACCTACCACTACAGCGCTGCTTGAAGCATCGCAGTTCGATCAAATTAAAATATGTTCATATTTTATTTTATAAATGTACACAGTATATGGCATATTTAATGATAAACAAAATCCATTAACATAAAATTTACAAATATAGGAAAATAAAATTTCATGTTTTTGCTTCATACATATCTACCTACAATGGGTTTCAAAATTTGTCCTTTGGAGTTAATGAATTGTACTTAGGTAAAAAGCGTTTTATAAAGATAAAAAACTGTTTCAAGTATCATCTGTTAACGTACTAAAGTATCGACCTAGTTTAATAAATTACGAATTCAGTTAAACTATTCCTGAAAGTTATTTTATTATCGCTGATAATGGAATAGTGCACTCATATATGATAACAGTATATATACTTTTGCGATGCACCAGTAGAGTATGATGGTACAAGCATGAAATCAGGTCAGTTACCCCATTGTGACATAACCACCAGTAAATATCTACGATGGTTTCCTGGGGGAACGCGTGGAGGTCGACCTGAGGTGTCAACATACATACCAGTACATTGCTAGAATAGGGGACACCAATCTCCCTTATTAATAATCCCCTCCAACCTCTGAACGTCATTTGTTTTTAGGGAAAACTTCAACATACCTAATTAAAATTATGATTCTCAGAATCAAAGCTATTACGACCTCAGTTTCGTAGTAATATGACAGTAGTTTCTTAATATAAAATCCATTAACTTCATTTAGGTATCATACGAAAATTAATTGAAATAATTTATTGATATAGAACCCAATATTTATCATAACTACCTGGTATTAATCGTTACAAAAAAGACAAAATATTAATGACCGTCAAGGGTTCCAAGTTCAAATGGGCCAGTCACGTGTTGTGCTCGGTCGGTTCACTGGCACGCTATTGGTGTTTAAACTTTGGCGCGCTTTTTCTGTACCCGCCCCTTGCTTGTGACAGCTGTGATTGAATCGGCGAGGCTCAGTTGAGTGATTTATAGTTGTAATGGTGCTCAATTTTTTTGTTTGGCCTGTTTTTGCAATTTGATTTATACCATCTGTCCCTGGCGTTTTCGTGTTCGTCGGTGACACTTATTTTCTGGTAGGTACTATTCTTTTTGATGTATTTGTGAAATAGTGGATTTAGTCCGTAACGTATTATATACTACGTATCTATTATCGTACCTGTAGTATTACTTAGATAATAGAATACCTATTACAAAATTATTTAATAAGTGACGTCAGTACTTAGGTATCTTAAGACATGACGGAAATGAAAATCATTCTAAATATTATTTTTATATAGATTAAGTTTACCTATATTACCTACATAGACGAACATGGAATATGTATTCTCGCAACCTGAAATAACACACCTACACCGAATTAATATTGCTAAAAATACGGAAAACAGAAAACTGGTACGAAAAATTAAATGAAGCCCATAAATATACCTACTATTTGCATAAATACTGTTTGATGATGTAAGATTAACAAATATGAATTAATAATATTAAGTATCTGATTTAATAATCTTATATTTTATATAAGTAAGTAGGTTCTCGTTATTTATGATAGTGGTGGTAATAAACGATCAATTTGAACATTTATAACTGTTTATAGACCATTAATTAGTTTAGAAAAAAAAGAGTACCTACCTAAATACAACTTGTAGATCGGTTGTCCAGTATTTAGTATCCAGAATATGCTCTGCTTAGTTCGAGAGAGAGATAAGATAAGACTGTTTTTAGTTGTATGTAATTACTTGTAAAATACTAAAGCATGCCTATAATGTAGTAGTTATATTATGCTAATATATACAAAACACACAAAGTTATTGTGTGTTTTGCTGGGTGTTTCCTAACAACGCCGGATTTTGTAACTAGTATTCTATATCTAAAGAGACTCCGATGAGTTGCTACAAATAAAAATACACTAAAGGAATCAGTAATGTATGCAAATATTAAACAAAGATCCAATCGCAACCTCCCACTTAGGTAGGTACTAATGTATTTTCAACGAACAAAACGAAAGAAGTTTGTTAGCATAGCTCCTTTTTCTAGGTAAATGATTTTAATAATATTCTTTTATTTGAACCTGTTCTCATTTCATGTAGTCCAATATAAATATTGTCAAGATCTGTCTAAGACGTTAGGTATTGTTATTTAGAACAGTATGAAACCTCTTTGCTACATTGTATTTTATTACTTTTAAGAAAAGAACACAGATATTTTTTAAATATGTCTTTCTTAACTGTGTGGGAATCATTGGAGCGAAAATACAATTCCTTTACAAAAGACACACATACAGAATATATTTTTTTATTACAGAGCGGAAGGATGGCATAAACAATATTTGACCAGTAGTTTTTGAGTTATCCTAAACAATTCGATTGACGCCTTTTTCCTGTTATTATTTTATACAACTAGCGCCATCTGTCTGTTCACAGAATAAGGTTGTGTCAGTCGATGGCGTCAAAGTAAAGCTTCAGATTTGGGACACCGCGGGCCAAGAGCGCTTCCGTAGCGTCACGCACGCATACTACAGAGATGCACATGGTATGTAGACTTAAAAAACGTATTTAAAATAAATTAAGGTAACTTATAATGCTATTTGTATTTATTTACTAAATGCTATTTACATTTATTTACTAAACTTTAATTATTAATTACCTACAATGATAGACGTTATTCTAATTTGGTACATGTACAACTAGTGCCATCTATATGTTGGTTAACGCACATGTGAGATGTTTTGACAGAAAAAGTTATTCATTTAAATCAGCAGTTATAAATAAATGCCCAAAGAATAAAGATGCTAAGTTTTCTATCACATACTTACGTTAGTATAACTACCTACTACAGTAATATAAATGAATTCAGTGTACCACAGTGTACTTATAACATTATGAGCTCGTCATAGATAACGTATGACACCATCGACCTCTACTATAGCTCTGTATACTTGCCTACTTCATTAGACATTAATTATATAAACCAGATCGCGGGTGGGACTCGAATGGCCCAGTTATGTCTTCCTCTTATAATATTCTTCTATTCCTTGGTGAGAGAACATGTCCCATACAGACTAATATTGTATACTTTTACTAAAGTTTAACTGTCTGTCCTTTTAACTATAAAACGTATAATAACGATTATGGTAATAGGCCATCTTTTTCCTGGCGTTGAAAGAAGTCAATTAATAATTTTGTTAATTTTGACATTTTGTTGACAAAAATAATATAGATTCAGATTAAAATTTACTTCAATCCTAAAATTGACACTCTCCGGATATTCCATCTACAAGTAATGTCAAATGAAAACGAGTCTATATCCCTACTGAAATTACAGGATAAGAGGGATGACATCTTACTCCTCTGGAATGGCAACGCATGTATGGTATCACAGGCGTCACATGATATGATAACGTGATGTCCATAATGCTGTTCAAGTATATACACCCTCATTGAGTTATAGACCGTTTTGTCTCATTAATTAGTTTTTAAATTATATTATTCTATGGGCAATAGTTGTAATGTGTAAAAAGTTTCTGTTTGAGACAAATAAAGATTATTATATAGGCGACGGTTACCACTTACTATTACGAGAACCGTCAGCTTGTTTGCCACTCTAATGAAATAAAATTAAAATAATTCAAAGAACTCGACTTCCACTTCTGTTCAAGTATTTCAAACCTATAAATTTTTTGAGTTTAGTTTCTATTTAAAAAAGGAACTAAACAGGACCAAAAGGAATTACCTATAATATAGAAGATAATTTGTTTTAGGTCAATAGATTGCTGCTTTTTTTAAAGAATATCCATAATTAGATAATATAGGAATGTTATCTGTTCTATTGTACCAGCTCTGCTCCTGTTATACGACGTGACGAACAAGACCAGCTTCGACAATATCCGTGCCTGGCTCGGCGAGATACGAGAGTACGCACAAGACGATGTCGTCATCATGCTTTTAGGTAATCTAATCAATATGGCTGTTTTCTTTTGGACATTGTGTAGTAACAACATTAGAACATAAAAATCACTTTGGACAAATAATGTATACAAATACCATAAAAAGTACGACGCCTTAAAAAAAACAAATGAAATTACTTTTCAAGAAAAAAGTAATATTAAAAAATATTTTTTAAGAATGCGGTATGACTATACTAAACTTTTTTATGCTACTGTAAGAGACTTAACAAGAATTATGGCTTAGTACGGTTTGTAAGGGCATAATATAATAGTGACGCCTGATGTAGCCCTGCTACGACTGTTGGTTGGTTGTGGATCTAATAGTGTCAAAAATTAGTCCTTACTAACCCTACTCTCTAGACTCTAGAGGTCAGCTTCAATATCTTACTTTTGAACCAGAATGAATCATACAATCCAAGCAACCATGGCCTGTATCAATTCATCATCATAACATTATAACACATTATATTCCCACAACTGGGCATGTTTTTGTCCAAGACCAGAATTTATCCTGTTATTACCTACCATATTAGACGATTGATCTGTCACAATATGGGTAAAGTCCCTCTAGTAAAGCCAATACCCAACTCAACCATATGACTGCTATTAAATTATTATTATTATGATTAATCTGTAATTTCGAGAAAAAGAAACAATCTTTTGTGGTGTATTACAAAAGGAATACAAAGTAGATTAACACAACCAACCAACCAAACCAAGCCGAGCAGCCTTCACTTTCTCCACGTCTCAGGTATCAGTCCGTAACCATATTCTCCGTGTTCCAGGTAACAAATCCGATAGCGGCCTAGAAAGAGCGGTGAGGCGGGAGGAGGGGCAGCGTTTGGCAAGAGAATACCAAGTCGCCTTTATGGAGACATCAGCCAAAACCGGATTGAATGTAGAAGCGGCGTTCGCTCACGTAGCGCGCTCTCTAGTCGCGAAAGCGAACCCAGTCGACCCTTCGAGGCTATCGGTGCGCGCGCAGCCGACCCAGGAACAGAGGTCTTCGTGTCCGCCATGCTTATAAATATATTTGCGCGGCAATTTCAAATTTGGAACGTCATCTCAAATAAAGAACCATTTAAAAGTCTGTAGTTTATGAAATGTAAATTATTATTATGCTGATGTATGGCAATGCTGTTTTTTTGATTAAAAGCCTTTTGATGAATGTATTTGATGTGATGATGAGTAATTCTATTTATATAAATATTTTAAATATTGAATAATGACCATACACTCAATATTAAGTAGATAATTCTATTAGGTAGGTACCCTATACATTCAAAAAATATCCACATATGGATTGTTTAAATAGAAAAAAGAAAAAAAAAGTCTACTACTCTTTATAAGCATTTACCTATTAATTATACATGTTGATATTAAATTCATTGGAACTTAATTCATTATTACTTTATAAATAAAAACATTCATCGCAAGCAATTCAAATATATTTCTAGGTAGGTACGTAATGTTACGTTTGTGGCTTGGAAGGTCCAAGCCACAAACGTAACTACCTAACCTACTTACAGCGGATTTACAGAATTTTTTGAAACTTCGTATTTCTTTTCTCTTTGTTTGTTTATCTTTAATTATATAGATATTTATTTACATGACAAAAACATAGTGTGTATGCACAAGTGTAATGTATTTTTATTGGACCTAAGTACTTTGTACTTATACAATTTTAACATTTTTGTTTGTTAGACTAATATAATGAATAAATTCTTAACTTAATATATAACAAATTATAACTTAACCCGGATACCTGGTAGGAACCAACCTATAACCTAAGTATCTAATTGTAAATGTACTCAGGATAAATATTCACTGATTTAGATATGGTTGTTAATATTGTAGCTAAAACGTATTATACTTATTTAATATATTTATCATAAAATTAAATACCCTTGCGACTGTAATCTTAAATGGGGTAGTAAAAGCACGGTCAAGTCCCGACGTTGTGGTTAAACGTAACACTTGACTTGCCCACATATCTCTGAACATATCGGTGTTTTCCATCACCGGAGAGCTAATCAGATATTTAAATTGATTAAAGTTTTAATGTCCGCCGAATTCGAATCCACGATCACTCAGGTCTGTGAAGTGGGATAGTACAGCACTAGGCTATGGCGGTTTCTATAGTAAGTTTAGCTATTTAAAACTTGTAAAAAAATATATAACTAAACAGAAATTTGTCGTTTTAGTTTATGAAGCTTGTAAAAATGTACTTAGTTAATTGTCTATTAATTTTAGATTTAATCAACGTTAGTTATTGTTGATAAGTACATATGTATATTATTTCCATTATATATTAAAAAAAAACTATAATAATTGTATTTATATGTATAATTCCCGAGAGGGCACACAAAGAAAAATTAAAGTGACGTGAAATGATTAATCAAAATAAAACAAATATTTATAAAAAGAACGGTAGACAAGCAACAGTAATCATCTTTACAAGTGTACGAGTACGAGGTACCTTAATACCTTAGAAGAAAACATTCTTGTTTGTCATTATTGAACAGTCCGGCACTCCCGCCCCGGTTGCCTCTTGGATTGATCTCCTGCCGGGGAAGGAAATTAGAGAGAGAAGCCGAGGTCCGAATCGCCTAGAAACGATCCCTTCAGTTAGATACACGACCTAACCGTCACTGGAATCTTCAAGCGTTCCATAAGCCCTTTCGAGTGTCCTTTGCCCTATTTTTCGTCCCGTGAAGCTGTAAAGGCTACGGTCATCCGTAGATATTAGAATAGTGATTAAACCCGGTCTTTAGCTGTTCCACAAGCCATTCCACGGGTGTAGTACCCTTTGCATTCGCCCTCTTTTTTGAACCTCTTCCTTTTCACCTCTTCTTTTTCTAGACCGAACAAAACAAAAATCTGTTGTATTGGTATGGGTTGGTCAGGTTCTCTCTGTAGTACATGCATACAACATATGCATCATACCCATGGTACAAGCATCACTAAATATAGAAATAGGTGTGCATGATAGATTAACATTAAAAAAAACTTACATGACATTGAGTGATATGACTAAGGCCCAACGTAACCAACTATTACTAGCAGATTGTGTATGTAAATATTATTTTCAAACAAATTCAAAGTGGTCAATTACGTTTCTTTTTGTATAATAATATTAATCAAACAAGATAAAAAGTGTTCATAAATGTTCACATATTTCTTTAAACAAATACAAAATAAATATGTCCCATAATATTTATATAGATAAAATAGTAATATATATAAGATTACCGAAGGATATACCTTGAGGTAGTATGTAAGCGGTGGTCCCCAATTGTTTTAAGTTAATATAGTACCAGTATCTTAATTTCTTAAGGATTCACCACATTATCGGGAATATGGGACAGTTATAAATGAATAGATTAAATGAAATTAAAGTGTTACAGACACTTTCAAACTAACAGCTTTTCACTAAATGCATTTGTGTATATGATACTTGCATCAAAAATTAAATTAAAATATTTCGACTCTGTCTGTCTATTTGTTCTTATTAATCACTGCAACATATGGACCGATTTTAAAGAGACATTTGAATGCGGTTGACCGCAGATAGCTAATGTCATAATTAGTAACATACGATACTTTTATTTAAAAAATATTGTATTAAAAAATAGTGATTTTCCAGGCGGACGAAATCGCAAGTACAACTACTACACGGCTAGCGTCACCCCCAACACAACACCAGTATAAGTTATCTCTGTAATAAACATCATAATAAGAACTCATATCTCAAAAAAAAAACTCAAAACTTTGTCTCACAATTAAGCAAGGGTCTCGTCACATGGATTTGTCTTGATACCGCGCATGTAAAATGGCAATAATACCACGAGTCCCTAGCTCGAGACTGTCCCTAGTTCAAAAGGCCATGTTACTTGTTAAAATTCAAACTTTAGTTGGGGACCCTTTATCTAAAAAGCTTCACGTTGTAGTTTCTTAAATTGATTAAACACAATGTTCGTTCAGTGCTCACTGTACTGGCACCCTATTGTTTGATTTACAATGGGCCTCAGATGGTATACGTTTAGTGGGACGCAGCCCGGCAGTAGTCGGCTTGAAATAGGACTTAATTTCGATTGCACTGAAATATAATGCATATTTGTACTTTATTTCTATACTAGCTCTGCCCACGGTTTCACGCGCGTTAAAATAATATATAAAATTCTCGTGTTCACAGGTACCGTGTTTATACTCTATATAAACAAGATATATAGGTGTGTAACTAATTTTATAGCCCTAAATGTTTATCCCAAATATTTGTTTTTCATTTTTTTGCCTAAGTTTTTATTACGTGGCATTAAAAATACATACCTACTACCCTAAATTTTCCCCCTTCTATCACCAACACATATTTTTAAATAGCGATATTAATTTATATGGCAAAACACCGTTTGCCGGGTCAGCTAGTTTCAATATATAAATTTCAATGAAAAATATAAGCTATGCGTTATTATTATGCATAAGCTATATTACTGTAAAGTTTCATCAAAATCCGTTCAGTAGTTTTTGAATGAAAGAGTAACAAACATCCGTATTCACAAACTTTCACGTTTATAATATTATTAAGATAAGTATTCTCTAACATCGTAAGGATGAAAAGAAGCATTGGCATATTATTTTGACTTCGTCACTACAGTTTCTGTTTAGTCATTATTATTTGCTAAATTACATACGATTTAGTGCTGGCGTCTAGGTGCTGTCCAGATCGTCGGCGATATAGAAATGGCTTATAATCGATTTGGCTACACTTTACTATATTTTTGCGTACAACGTCCTTTTTGTGTGGTAGGTAGGAATATTGTTTTACGTAAAATGAGGTGTCATGTTTGATTCTCGATTGGGTCAATTTGGGAAACAATCTTTTCTATATTGTCTCTCGGTTTGATTACGGTTTTAGACGATAATTGTCTATTTATAAGATTCATGTGAAGATTATGTTCGTCAAAAGTATTAAACGACTGCTATAGTACTAGTTATTTTTATATCATTTTCCTTTTAGCGTTCAGGAAAATGCAGGTTCGCAAAATCATGGTAGGAATTGCTTTTAATAAATTATAACACGTCGATTGAAATGTGCTATTCCATTAATACTATGCTTAGAGTGCAAGAGGCATTTTAAACTTGGCGGGTTATATAAAGCCGGTCCTACTATGATTCGTATAGTGACGTCATCATATTTCATATCTATACATATAAATAAATTTGAATTGTCTGTTTGTAATATTGAAATAACCTTTTTTTTTGGCAGGGACTTTTATTGGCAGGTAGCTGATGTAATAAGGAGTAACTTAGGCTGTTTTTATTTTAGAAAAATAAAGTAAATTCCAGGCGGACGAAGTCGCGGGTACAGCTAGTATGTAATATAGATTGTACAGCAACTCAGCAATTAATTTAGGGTCAGAAACTTATACGCAAATTTAGTTACGTCGTACGATATTGGTGGCTGTATTGTTGCTCTATCTTCTATCAGTCGATATATATGGATGCAGACAGATATATACTCTATATCTATTAGAATTAATATTCCTTTCAAATGCTGAAAGAATTCTTCAATTAGATACCTACTGCCATACTTTAGGAGATTGTCATCCATGTACAAAGTAAAAAATTTACAAAATTCGATTTATATCTATTATTAAAATTTTACAAACCCAAATTACATTGGTCCTACCTACTAATTATACGAATTTACATAGGTATTAAAAAAAGAAATAGAACCAAATAAAATTGTGAAATTCCCAATTGCATTTTTCTAATTTATTTAAAAATATAAGAATTGTGTTCTATTTAAATATATAAATTATAATTTATATTAAGCAACTATAGATTAAACTATTTTAATAATAATTTCGTTCATTAATTAGCTAGAAAGAAAAAGTTTCGTGCTCAGTGCCGAATGATTCTTTTATTAACATAAAGAGTACATAGTCATAAGAAATTCAGGATTTTTTGTGAAATGAATGGGTCATTTCTCTACAGATACTTAAATTAGTAAATATAGATTTATGAAACTGTTATTATGAATCACGTTCTATACCCATACCTACACGTGGTACTACTTACAAAATGTAAATTAGGCTTAACTAATATTGTTCTCATCTCATTATATCTAATATTGTAAAATACATATATAATAACTGCTATGGAAAACAATAAAAGATTGTAATTTTTGTGTAAATGTTGTGACATTTAATGTTGCTTATGTATAAATTGAATAAAATGGTATTAAACACATATTTTGTTATTTTTAAAGAATCACATTTCTTCATTCATTAATTCACAATATCTTTCTAGACATCTGGTAACTGGTAATACCAGGGTAAAAGTCAAACTCATGGGTACCTACAGCTGTATTCTTACCTGTAACGCCATTCCGGAGCCTTTCTTTGTAGAATCTGAAAAAAATAACAATTGGCCGGCAACAAACATTGAAGAACTGACTAACGCTAACATCTGTTGCAAACGGCCTAGTATAGAGCAATTACTACAGTATCTTTAAACGGGGCATTGTCCCTTAAACAAACACCTGTACACAATAAGCGCTACAGACCCTTTTGTTGGGGCTGCTTTGAAGCCGAAGAAACGGCTGCTCACGTAATCCTGGAGTGCGTAGCAGTAGCCACACAACGAAAACAAATATTCGGAACGGTTAGGTCTAATCTCTCTAGTCTAGTCTCCATGAAGCCTAAAACCACACCTTGAAGACACCTGGAAACTTCTGCGCTTTTGGAAGGAGCTTGGCTGGCTACTTTAGTAGCCTGGCTCTACACGCACAACGCTAATTGCGGAGACTGGAATCCAATTTGCATTTTATACATTTTACAGTATCTTTAACAAAACTATAGTTACTAGGTTACAGGTATTATGAATGTTTCTGTAAGTATATATATATATACCTATATCTGTAGCCAATTATAAAATGTGCATAAAGTGAGACAGTGATAACCATATTCTTAACATAGGTCGGTTTGTCTTTATACTGTTGAATATTAACAGCAATGTATAAGTTGAGTTCTAAAGTACACATTTTCTTTATAAACAAATAAAAATATGTCTGCTACATTATGAGAGTTACATACAATTTTATCGAGTTTTGTATTTTCCCGCTTCTTGAAGCAGCTGTCATGATCTCCGATGTTTAAACTTGCCGCCATGTTTGTTATCATGATAGAAAGGGAGAGGTTATACGGATCAGAGGTTGTCAACATTTGTTCAATTTGTCTAAAAGTTACATCCGTTACGTAATTTTAAATTAAATGTTTACATAACTTTAGTTGGAAATTTAAAACAAAATATACATTTACAAAGAAACCGTAACAATAAACTTGATTTTAATTTTAAATTTAAGTATCTTTAGATATTTGGGTACCTATAGTGAATACGTAATAAATATCAAGAATCCCTAAATTTACATGGGAATTAGCAGTGATAATCCCTATAATGTTTATATAATTATGCATATAGATAGTCAAAGTTTTTTAATTATCATATGGGATCATTAAAAGTGTTGCATTTATACAAAATAATTTACATGTGAGTAGTTTGTAAATATACAATTACTTATAGGTGAGTACAGCATGTCAAATAACCTAAAAATTAATTAACTCATTCTAGTATTTTTTTATTATACTTATAATAAATAAAAACTGTATAATAAGTATATTAAAAAAACACTAGAACTCTGAATCTGAATTTCTGATATAATATGTAGATAAGCGTTTTGAATCTGTTTAAAAGTGTATCCGATCTCACCTTGAATACGCGTGATTAGGTCATAAAAAGCTAAAAGGTTTGATCGTTTAAGAATGTATTTTCTTTAGAATATAAAGTTGAATTAAAGGAAAATGTACCTTATACGTAACACACTTGCTAAATAAGTCCAAAGTTCTATTACATATTTAAAAGTGTTTTTTAAATCACAAACTAATCATACATAAATTAGATATATATTTAAATAATTCTATTAGTACTAGTAGCATTTCCGTAACATTTATATCCGTTATGCAACAACACAAATTATATGCTAGATCAATTTTTAAATTACTACTATTTTGTATTTCGTTTAATTAAAGTTTTTGTTTCAATTATTTATATTCCGTAAAAAATAATATATACATAATGTTAATAGTTTGCTACCTCTGAGTTTAGTCACTGTTTGCGATTATTATGTTGGCCACACTGACGCCACTCTACGCGCACATGCGCAGAACGACAGGTGGTCGGCGAGTCGAGCCAGCCGTCCCGAACCTATCGACTTCTCGTGCTCATCATCAGCCGCTTTCGTGCTCAAGTTAGAACGATGTGCAGTGCTTTGTGTTGAAGGGCTCGTGGTGACATGGCGTCTTTAAATTAAACTTCATAAATGTGTTAATACGTTTTAAATTGTGTTTATTTACAATGAGTGTGAATTATGATCGTGTTTGTAGACTGTGCTTGTCATCTCGAGGCGAATTAGTGCCGATTTTTCCTACCACCAGTCCGGATGAGTCGGAACCTCCCGTCCTTGCAAACAAAATAAAGGATTGTGTCTCTGTACAGGTATGTAATATGTAAAATAAGCGATAGTATGCAGTTTTTAGTGAAAGTAGACCCTTGGTGTATATGAGAACTTGTCATCTGCCCCGGATCGTACGATGACAGGCAGCGCGACGTTTGGGTGGAGATGTCGTAAGATCGTCCACCATTTTGTAATGTTCCACGGCTATCGCTCGACTCGTGGTCGCGTCGCGTCGCATTCCGTTCAGCCGGCAAGGAATGGCGCGTATCATGAGGGTCGGGTTTAGTTTTATTCCCGGGGGTCTGGCAGGGCGGGGGTCTGCGTATCGTTAGCTTGGTTCCGCGTTGGACATCGGGTGTATTGATTTATCGGACGAGACCAGGGGCTTTGCAGCTCGGCGGCTCGTCCCTCGAGCGGGTCGGGCGTCGGTGTCGGCGTGAGTGCGCTATAGCTGTGTGCGTATATCGAGCGGTAACCCTCGAGGGGCACGCTGACTGCCACTCGACTCGCTTCTACTTATGCGGTCGAGGAGCCAGCCGCTCCGATATACCTACGCCTACCTACTTAGTTTCTCCTCGCGTATCTATGTAGACATGAGGCGCGGTTTCGCCTCGCTCGTTCTGATGAAACGCGCACGACTCACGTTCCCTTTATGATTGCGTATGATTGTTATTTTTTCAGATAACCGAAAATGACGACCTGCCTACCAATGTATGCAGGAAATGTATGGACAATGTAAATAACTGGCATATATTTAAGTCTGTGTGTGAAAGGACACAAAACAAACTAGAATCTCTATTGAATAAAGATGGCAACCAACTAGAAGAGGTGGGTTTGTTTTTCTTGATATTTAATCATGGAACTGTCATTTATTAATTAGTATGTGCATCTTTTTTCAAACATAACTATGAATTTCCAGGTCAACATAAAAAGTGAGCCAATAACTGATGAAACTTATGATGATGGAGTGGTCATTGATGGTTCCTACCCAGACAATGAGGTATGTTAATCAGAATTATATTTATTTTTTATGGTTTCTGTCTTGTTATGAGTTGGCTATGCTCAGTAAAATGATGATTAATCAATATCTCAGTCTATCTGCACAATAGCTTTTTGGTGTCAAGGACAATTGACTTGTTGTCAAGTCAGTTTATATGGAGTATGATTGTGATAGTATACTGTCCTCCTTAAGTGTGGTGACATTATTACTGGTATAATTATGAAGACCTATTAAATTGATAAAGAATAATTTTCATCCTCTTTTAACATAGAACTTAACAATATTGCCTTTAAATTAGGTTAGAAATAGTCCTTTTCAATTTGTAATAATATATAGTAAATCTAAATATTTAAATTCTAAATATTCACAGACCAATTAATCTAGAATGTCTGGTGTTAATGTATATAATATTATTGTTATTTCATATTTTTGCACCAGATAGTTAAGAGTCGACCAAGTGCCAACACTATTATATTTAATTACTTTTCTTACTAATTAATAAACTTTATGAGGTTTTAAATTAGATTTTTGTATTATATATATTATATTTTGAAACATTAAGAATTGTTAAATTATTTATATAGGTATATATATATATTAAATTATTGTCTCAGACATATTGGGGATTTACAATTTATTAAATTAATATATAGGTATAAATAATTGCAACCTGCAACATTACTTATGTGAATTAAAACTCAACTAGGCATTTTATTACATTTCAGCTATTTAAATACAATTGAGTAACTAACCTCTACTATCTGTAACTTTACAAATTTTCACATTTAGAACTTTAGTATGATGCCATTTCAAACATGATAATTGCCACAACAAATAATCATAATCTTTATTTGAATATTACAGAATGGCACCAATTCGGCCAAACTACAACCAGAAGGCCCACCAATCTTGGCATCATTGGGACTCACGCCAAGGAGTGATAAGGTATAGATTACACATCCAATTTCCTTATCATTTTATACAAGTACTCAGTTATTGCATAGTAGAATACTACAATGATATTTAATACAACACTCCATTTATTTTATATTATGTTATGTTATATTATATTTATTTATTATGTAATCTCATTTGGAGATTCTTCTGTGAGGATAGTTCAATGGGATTAATTTCATTCACAGAGATGTGTTGATCCTCGAATGGATTGGCACCGAGTCCATGCCATACTGGACATTGTTCAAGATGATGATGTCATAAATTCCCTGCAAACCACAGAGGAGTATGACAACATACACCAGTCTGATCATGACTCAGATTCAGAAACTGAACTCCAACACATAGATGATTGCTATATTGATTTTAAGAATGGTTACATCTGTAAAAATAAGACATTACTTTCTAAAGATCCTGTGTTATATTCATGTAGTGCTAATAAAGTTAGTAATTTGAAGAAGAGAAAGGTTGACAGTAATAGACATTATCAATGGCCAAAGAATGCATGGCAAATGTTTTTTAGTAATGATATACTTGAAATTATTGTAGCTTCTACCAATGATAAAATACAGAGAAATGGCCATGATTCCTCCTCTAAAATAAATATCAGTGATATTAAAACCGTTATTGGTATTTTATATCTTCATGGTATAATGAGGCCAACTCATCAGAATTGTAATGATATGTGGAACAATGATTATGGTGTGCCATGCATTCAAAGCTTTATGAAATATGACAGGTTTAAATTTATTCTTGAAAATATACAGTTTGACGAATTTAGTGATGGCATACTTCAAATGGATGTAATGAGACGTATACGTAAAGTATTTGAGATTTTTGCATTGAACTGTAGGACAGCACTTGATATAGGAAATATTGGAGTTATTGATGAAGTTATTGTGCCAGTTTATGGTCCATGTCCCTTCCGATACAACATTGTAAAAAAATCCCTTAAAAGTGGAATAAAATTAGTTGTCTTAGTAGATCCATCTACATTCTATGTGAGTAACATAGATGTCATAACAGATCCTTACTTTGGACCGAGTGACATAGTACAGAAATTGGTTCAGCATTTAGCTGGTAGTGAAAAGACTGTAATTATGGACAGTTGGTACACATCATTAGATTTGATATGTACTCTTAAGAATGAGTATCAATTGTGTGCAATAGCTGCTCTAAATCCAAGAGATGACATTGTTCCACCATTATTTATTTCAAAGTACAGAAAATGTCAGACATTTTTAACAGGATACCTGAATAAGGATACTGTTATTACATCATTTACTAATTCTAAATTAAAATCTATCAATATTGTAACAAATGATGACAAATTTTATAAGAAGGGTCATAATAGAAGTAATATGGCTGTATCCACATATAAAAAGAACCAATCTGCAGTGGAAATGGTTGATGTACTAATGCATTATTATACAACAATGCAGCATACTAATGATTGGGCACTTTCATTATTTTTTACGTTGCTTAACATAGCATCAGTAAATGCCCAAGTGTTGTGGAGTGAAAATAATTCTACAAATATTATAAAACGTCGTTTATTCGTAAATGAATTAGCTGTTAGTCTTTTGGAAAGTAATCAACCAATGTCACCAGTGATAGAGATTCCATTTAAAAAAAGATGTTTAACTGTGTTGGAAAATGATAGTAGTTCTCGTTTTAATATCAGAAGGAGATGTCGAATTTGCAGGACTACAACAAAAAAGGACAGAAGAACAAGACAATTCTGCACCAAATGTGGGCAGTTTATTTGTAAAGAGCACTCTGTTATGTTTTGTTCTATGTGTGCAGCATAACTACATCAATACATTATTAGAATGCACATAGCTTCAATATATTTATGTTACTTGTTGATTTTACTGAATAGAGTGTTGGATTAAGTATCCTTATATTTTATTCTTTATTATTATAGTTACCTATATTTGGAAATATTGTAATATGTATCAAAATAAATTATTATTATTAGCTGTTACTATTTTGACATAAGAAATTATTTGAATAAATATGATTATAAACAATTTTAACATCTGTTGCATGAATATTGAAATATTTAAAACTAGTAATTAAGTAAAAGAATATTGTAAGTGTAGATATAGTTAACATTGACTTAATGTTTTTATGATAGAAAAAGATTGAATGTAACATTATCCAGAAATTATTACTCCATGGTAAATAGAATGGGTAAATTCTTCTTAGGTCTTAGAAGTTTATTTTTGTTTGTTCTTGGAATCTATGAATGGATTTTTTTTAACTACAGTAGTACATACAGTACAGTAAATACATAATATGAGCATTTGTTTAGCTCTTTGAGCTTATAAAAATATTTCATTCTAAGTGTACTATTACTTTATAACAAACAACTATAAACCAATTAACAAATTAATAGACTGTAATGTACATGATATAATCAACTTGTTTAAATCATTTTTAAATTTCAGTTCATTACGAATATGGAATAATTGTAATTACATGTTTTTATCCTTAATTTACAGGGTGTGGAGAGTGATAAAGAGGAAGAAGATGATGAACAAGAGATAAATGAATCAACGCAATCTTTTTCTAATATCGCTATGCCTGAAGTTTCTATTACCGTGATGCGGCCCACAGGTGAGACATTACACGCTCGCCAAGGTATCCAGCAATTAGCTTCCAAAGATTGCCTCGTTTGTGGCCGCTCTTACAGGTACTCTCATAATGCTAGGCGACATGAACTTACCGCTCACAGTTTTGATAGGTACACCAACAAAATAACAACCAAAAAGTCTCACACACACATGCAGCCCAAACTAAGACCTAATCCATTTAATCCAAAGGCACGATTAATACCCACTCACAAGATGCAACTTATGCCAAAACCAGTTCCCAAATTGATACCACATAAGATTCAAGTGCCGCCGAAACCAATCCTTATTAAGGCATCTAAAACTCCTCAAAACAATCTGCCTTATCCACTTCGTATTAAAGCATTAAAAGATTTACAAATAAAGAAAAAGGAACCTCAGATTTTAAAAACTTTACTTACATCGAAACCGGAGGTGTTAGTTTCTGAACCTGAAATTCTGAATTCCGGACCTGAAAGTCCGGAAACTTTAATATCCGAACCAGAGATATCTTCTTTTCAAGTAGAGACTATTTTATCTGAGCCTGATGCTTTTGAGCCACAAGGCGAAGAGGAGATAGATGGTGATAATCAAATTCAAAATTATGACACAGTTGACATGGATTCCGATAATGAAATTGAAATAGCTCGTCAACAAGAAAATGACGGAGACGAAGATGAAAATAATATAGACAATGACAACGATGACAATATACAACAAGATGAAAACAACATGGATATCGCCCAAGGTGACGAAAAGGATGAAACAGAAGAAGTTTCTGAAAAAGAAGAAAATATGGCAGGTGATAACAATGAGGAGCTCAAAAGCGACAATGACAATAAAGATGAAGGCGAAGGTGAAGAACGAGAAAATGAAGAACAAGAAGTAAATCATGATGAAAATGAGGACGACGATGATGACGATCTTCCACCTATGGAATTAGCACCTGTGGTAGAAATAAACGAGGACTTGCAAACCAACTCATATAATAGTGAGATGAATGAGGAAGAAGAAGAACTTGATGAGACTGCTGATATAAATGATAATGAGGGTGATGAACCAATCAAAGATCTTGATCCAGATAAACTTTATGTAACAAAAACACAAAGAGATTTTATTACTAAATATCGGGATATCATAGAGCAGATAAATACTAAAAGATGTCTTTGTTGCGATAGAGAACATCCTCGTAGAAAAGCTGTGATTCAGCATTTGCAGAAAAATGGACATAAGGTTCCAAAACACACATGTTATAATTGCGTAGTGACGTTTGGACATATAGGAGCATTGCTCAGTCATATGAGATCTAACACCTGCACAGATTTATGGAAAATAATTTACAACGAAAATGGTATAACAGATGATTTGGTACTCGAAGATGAACCAAAGGATAATAAAGTTCAATATAAAGATATTTTTAATGCTAGATCCTACGCTTGCAAGTTATGTCCCGCTAAGTTCCAATTGAAACAGTTTATTATGAAACACGTTTTGGACGTTCATGAAGATGGACAATCAAGGGTTCCTCTTGCATGTGTACATTGTGGATCGCGATTCAAGGATAGGAGTTTAATTAAGAAACATATTCGGAATGGCGAATGTACAGTATATATTGCCTGTGACTTATGTACAGAGAAATTTGGAAATATGCAAGATTTTAATGACCATGCATTAGCTGTTCATGCAGGAAGCTTTGATCAAGGTGATAACCAGAGTAAGTGTGTTGATGGACGACCAACAGATTGTCCTATATGTGGAAAGAAGAACAGTAGCTATCCAAATTTGGTAAAACATTTGAAAATTATTCATAATGAAGAAACTCCTCATTACTGCCAACATTGTGAGTCTAAATTTGAACAAGCTGCTGATCTTAATAAACATATTTATATGGAACATTCTGACAGAACTTTAGGTGTACAAACTACTGAACCTGATATGTCTCTTGTAAAGGAGGAAGCTGAGGAGTATCATTACTCTTGTACAGAATGCAACGCCATTTTTGAAACCGTTGATGCTTGGACAGACCATCAAGTCGCTGAACATAACCAAGTTGCTCATCATTGCGATCAATGTGATAAAAAATTCTTGCGACCGTCTGAGCTCGCTGAACACAAGAACACTCACTTGCGTGTAAAATTCTATCCTTGTAGTATATGTACCAATTCGTACAGTACACCTCAAAAGTTATCTGAACATGTTCAGCAAGTACACCCTGGAGTTGGTGTTGGTATTACTCCTGGCTTTCCATCCTTCTGTGAGATTTGTGTGAGATCCTTTAAAAGTCGTCAAGCATTCTCCAACCACATGCGTATACATGCAAAAGTGCCTACTACAAATAGAAAACCAGGTGAAACCAAAGGATTTGCACCACAGATTATTGGAAAACCAATTAGACAGTTTTCAGCAGTACAACCTGGTTTTATTTTCAAGCCAAATTGTAATGTTCCCAATGCTCCTTACTCTTGTGATATTTGTGGCAAAGGATTTATGCATAAGAAAAATATTTGGAAACATAAGAAAGTTTTACATGCTGATCTACTTACTGACAGAAATGATAGTGAAGAAAATACTATGCAGGCATCTACCGAAGAAGATGATTATAATGTCGATGAAAATGGTGCAATTTTATCCACACCACAGTTCAACAGTTTTAATTTTGCCAACTTTAGTAACAATGTACAACAATCACCTGAGGACCCTATGCCCTTCTCATGTGAACTTTGTTTCAAACGGTTCCCCATTGTAACTAGTTTGTGGAAGCATAAACGCGCCAAACATGGAATTATTAATGCCAGTACTGGTGGCAATTCTGAAACTCAAACATCAGCAGGCGAAGGTAGTAGTAGATCGAGTTGCACTATATGTAAAATCTCATTCTCCGATAAAAAATCTTACTATCGTCACAGAAAAAATGTTCATAAATCTAGTGTACAAATGTGCAAAATTTGTGGTAAACCTCTGAGTTCAACATTAGAACTTTATGAGCATCTGAAAGCTGCACATGCGCGAGAACTTTTGGGCTATAATGCTAATCAAGGGTCTAGTAAGACTCAAGATATGAAAGAAGAAGTTGAAGTGGAGTATGATTCTGTTGATCAAGATTCTGTAGATCCAAATGTTGACTATCAAGCTCGCTATCCATGTGATACATGTGGTAAACAATTTGTTGGGTTGCTCGCATTACAAAACCACCAATGTATAAATCAAATTCAGTCGCAACCACAAACTTTTGATTGTGAGATTTGTCACAAGAGTTATACGTCAATCGCAGCCCTTAAAAGTCACCGTGGTTGGCATTTACGTTCCCCTGATGGAAAAGCAGCTGCAAACAATAGCGGATTATGGATGCCGCAACACAAAGTAACTAGTAAGATTAGCAAACATGAGGTCGTGGACCCTGTTCAACTGGCACGAGTCCAACATACGACTACTCCGACTTCTACAGTCGTCAAACGGAAATTACCTCCAGAAGTGGAAGTTACTGTAGTCAATCCAAATAAGAAATTGCGTTCTGACGATTCCTTAGAAATGGAGCAACAAAATACGTCAGGTAGCTTAGACGACAGATATTGTACAATTTGTGATAAAGAATTTACAAAACGAGCGGCATATCAACGTCATATGGACGAAGTTCACCAGCCTAATTCGGTATTTTGTCCAGTCTGCGAGAAAAGTTTCACTAGAAAATCTACTTTACTCGTCCACATGAAGAAACATTATGAAGGTGGTCAAGGTAGTTCCTCTGGTACTGGTCAAGGTGAAACTGAAGATGATGTCCATGCATGTGATCTATGCGGCGCTCAATACGATAACGAAAAGGCTTTAAGATCTCACCGTACGAGACACCATGGTGAAGAATCTGAAGAATCGGAAGACGACGGAGGGGCGCCTATAGCTCAACCTGGGGAATTTACATGCGCCCAGTGCGGTGATGGAGTGGCAACTCCTCGCGATCTGATCGCGCATCGCTCTATGCACGCGACTCCCACTAAATTCTTTTGCAACATATGCAAAGTGTACTTTGCCAGAGCTTTAGACTTATCATCTCATACTCGCGCAAGACATTCTGACAACGAAAAGGTTTTTTTCCCTTGCGCAATGTGTGATCGCTTCTATATGAACAAGAAGAGTCTGCAGCGACACATAGAAACATCTCATTGATTCGGAACAAAGGACAGTTCACAGTGATATTTAGAAATAGGGGCATTTGTTTCAATTATATGTTTAATTGTACTGCGCGGGCTGAATTGTCGTCGACACAGTAGTCCAATTTTTTTCTATAGATGTAAATAAATCGATATAAAACCAAGACTTTTGTGTCCCAGTTTGACTGTGTGGTGGGTGAATAGTGTAATAGATGTGTCATTCCCTATTATTTTGTTTTTTTTTTATTATTATTGTAATCTATATTATTTTTTCATTTATTACTTATAAAATATGGTTTCTAGTTCTTGCTCATTTTTAATTATTAATTTATTCTACTGGTCTATCAATTGTGATTATGAAGACTTGTATGGTTGGTGTACAAACTGTAATGGCTAATTTTACAATAAATATTGTCTTTATTAAAAATGTACGTAGTACTTATCATAATTTACGAATACAAATTATGGTATGTAAATTAAATATTGTATGTATTAGTTTATACTATATTGATATTATCATGGGCCAAAATTTTTAAAGTATAGTCAATAATCAGTCAGTAACATACAGAATTGGAAGATTTCAATACTTCGTTCACATGTATTTTGAACATGAATATGTTGTTAATTTTATTTTATATCGTTGATCTTAGTTTAATTTCACTTTTATTAATAAATAGTTAGGTACATTTACTTTTATCATGTAAATATTATCTATAATTAATGCAGTTTGCTAATGATTTGAATTCGAAAAAAAATAATTTTAGTTTCTATTAAAATACAATGTACTGATTATTTTTAGTAATTGCAAGTGTATATTTTATATAAATTAAATGTACCACTAAGAGCATATCACCTCATCTATGGTGAAACATTATTACGAATGTGATTTGTTTTAATTATTGGATATGGCCTAATAATTAAGTCAGGTTTACAACACTAAGTTTTATTTATGCATATAAATTTATCACATACTCAATACTTAAGGCCATTTTAAGGGTTTCAATCAAATTCAAATAATTACATGACTACATGTGTGTTTTATATTATATATCATGATTTTTGTTTGACGATTTATAAATATACTCTTGACTGTTTACAAATTGGTATGTGAAATCATTTACGAGGTACAGATTGACAACAATTTTTATTTCCATCATATTTTTAAAGTATATGCGTAAAATTGATCTCTGTTACACTTTTGAAATGTAGTCCTACATTTCTACATTTAAAATATCATTAATAATATTCTATAATGTACTGTACCACTTAATTTAAAATTTAAACTTGACAATAATTTTGAATACCAGTATTGTAAATGTTTTTAGTTCTATTGAGAAACGGAACTTAGTTATTACCTTTATATTTTTTTAAGCGTTTCCACATGTAAGTTTTGCTATTGTGAGTAAATTTTAATTTAAAACCTGGGATATAAATTATTATGCAAAAAATATCTAAAAAAAAGGACAAATTACGTTTTTAAAAAACTTTAAATATCTACATAAATTTTGTTGCCAGTTGTTTATGTAAAATATATTTATATAAGTAAAACTTGCGTATATGAATGTGGGCTATTAGTTATTTTATCATCAATAAATATTTGAAATCAGATTTACTGTATACATATATTGGATTGTGCCAAATTGATTTTTTCCTTTGCTATATAAAACTGTATTATGGCCAATGGGAATGCATTGAGAAAATACTGATGCGATTTTTTATAAGCGTACTAGAAGCCAAAAGAAATATTTTTCGAGTTTTTGTCTATATCAAATTATGGTAATATCTGAATATAAAAAAGTGGTGCATCTTTCATTGTGATACACAAATGTTGACACTGAGTTTTAAGTAGGTCTATTACAACATGCTTACACTTGTTTCGTATTGCAGTCACTACCGGTTGTTAAACGGTAGGTATTCAATGGAAAACGTGTATTCTATATCTTGACAGGATGTAATAAATCCCGTGGGATTTACTTCGCAGAAGCTAGTTACAAAGACTACTACATTAGTTTAGACGTGTAAAAATGTAAATTGATCATGTACAGAAACAATACTTTTAATTAAGATCGCATTTATATATTATATATAATACGGTATGTGTTAAGTAACATTTACCTGTTTCATACAGTTTTTAATATTATATGTTTTTAATTACAGTCTGTAAGCATATTTACTGCCTATCTTCAGTTTATTGTGAAAATCGCGTAGGAACGCAAGAAATTTTGCTGGATGTTGGAAACAGCATGGAACAATTGTATTTTTTTCTATCATGTGAGATACATAATTCTATTATTCTTAATGAAAATGAAAGAGAATAGTTATTGCAGTATTTTCTTACGAGATTTTCACAATTTCGTGACGTTATATCGTTGATTTCGAACGATTAATGTCAATGTTTAATATAGTCAATTCTCTACGTTTGTGTTAAGGCGCTGTTTTCGTTATACTTTATAAAGAAGGCGGGCGTAACGGGCTTTATATTTAATTATATTTGGCTTGTATTTAATTAACATGAATATTCGTGTACGAAGAAAGCGCTTTGTCACAGAACGACACTGTCCATAGATGAGGTTTTCTTTTGTCATCTTTGTGGTTTGATTAATAAAGAGACTTAAAACTTACCTTTGTGTTTTTATTTCAATGAGTTCAGTAGGTAGTATATACTTTATTTTTATAGCCACCTGTTATACAATCAAATACTTACATGTTTACTTTAGACATTCTTGGTGGTGTAGGGATTTCAATGTTTCTCCTTCCGATGATGTCGGCTTCATCCCCGGTCGATACAAAGTATTGTATTCAAAGGCATATAATTGAGTAGTATTAAATATTCTGTGGTTTGTATATTTAGCTGGGTGTATTATGTTACAAAAATATACAAGTATTTCTATCACTTGTTTCGTATTATTTTTATGGTTACACCCTGTGTGATCCACTATAGTGGGCTATAATATAAAACCGATATCTAAATCGGCTCTCAATTGACTAACTTCAATAATGATGACCTTAAACGTATTCTTGAGTGCTATTCAACCCAGCACAGCGTTGTATATACTTGGAAAGGGAGGAATTCATACGACTTTTACATTATATTTTATTAGTCTTCTTCAAATCATATCAGCCGAGTCTATATGAAATCTTCAAACTTCTACCAAAACTATTGTCATAACATTAATTCCTCTTTTTCTGTAGGTAGGTAGGCAGATGTTAGAAATTGGTAGAAATTAAATTTGAAAAAAGAAATAGGGGAAAAGAAAAATCCTTTTAAAAAATAAAAATAAGGATTTCTTTTCTATTGGCTTTATGATTAAATCAATTTATTAAATTTGAATTAATATTTATGAATAATAAAATTGGATTAAATAAGCCCTTACTTGTTGAGGCTTATACAAGTATGCAAACTGACCAGCTATTCTGGCTGTTGTGATGAAGGCCTGTTACTGCTTATGCCTTTTCATCAACACCAAACTTGCAATTGCACTAGTCAATGTCTATGCGCTTATTGGTACTACTGCTACGTCCATTAAGTAGGTAAGAGTATTCTTTCTTTTTCTTCCCCTACTTCAATTTCTTCATTTTATTACTATATTTTTTTAGGAAATTAAAAGAAGCCAATAGATTGCACAAAACATTTTAATATAAACTTAAAAAGTCGTACAACAATATGAAAAATTATTATTGACTAATTATATTTGCGGACATGGAGAGCCGCTTTTACTATATTATGCAAATATTATATTATCTTTAACACTTCCATCGAATATATCTTACAAAAGAAAGAAAAAATAAAAAGTATCTTTATAATAAAAAATCTCATTACTCTAAATTGTATTATTATTAAACTTACAATATAGATTTTATCTACAAAATACTGTAGCCTTTTGGTCAGTTTTTCAATCGAGACCTCGCTACATGTACACGTTACATAATAATTTAATTATAATATAGGGTAACAATAAAGTACACGATCAAGATTTTTCAAATCATACAACTAGACTTAATCTAAATCAAAATATAAAAGTATTAAAAAATAGTTGCACATTTTCAATAACTACGTAGGTAACAACTTGTCATTGTTGTGCATAGAATTTCACAGTTACACAATGGTGAGAGACGTCCACCTCTCAATACTGAACACGTAATCACAATAACAAGCTGATCCAACCGACTACCCGCATATCACTACACTACGCTAAATACACACTCCATTGAAAAACTGCACCATCGCCAAGTGAAATATAAAAAAGATAAATAACACATAGTATTTATTTCCATGAATTTGCATGCACCCGTTATTTTATGAATTGAGAAATATTTTTTTTCTATCATTTATTCATATTCATGTCTTTTATAACAATATTATATAAGTATACCATATAGACTAAGACCGACCGCCGCGACGCAGACGGCCGGTAATGTACACAAGGACTAATATCTTCTTAAAAAAATACTGTTAGATTGAAACGTAGCTAGACCTATAATATTTTATGTATATTATAATTATAAGGGTACAATCGTACGAGTGATGATTACACTAGGTGAGATCTCCGACGCCCTCGGGCGGCCCGCCGCGCCGTCCGACCGCGTCCGAACGGATATGCAAACATTTATTATACCAGTACAATACATACAAGTATTTAGTAACACTATTTAGTATGAATTATTAATTTCAATATTAAAAATACGTAATTTCTCTATTGGCCATTCTTTTCGACGTGAAAAATTAGATAATTATCGCGTACGAATATATAATATTATATTATGTATAGATATTTATATATATATATATATATATCAGTATTTTCTTAAGATCGGAGGACGTATGTATACAGGCTCGCTCTAGAAGGTACGTCGTCGTATGCGCACGCGGCCACTCGGCCTCTCGCTCTCTTATACCCTACTAATATTATCGAACGAAGACATCAAAAACTTGACTCTGCATTAAATATTACGAAAATAAATCGCCGGCGAGTCGCGCGGCCGATTATTGCTCCTATCGATAAATTTACACATCGACGTAACGAACGAGAATACAAAAAGTTATGGAAAATCGTACGGATATCACAAGCGGCGGGCGGCGCGGGACGCCCCCGCGGAAAATAAAAAAATAAATCGCGGCGCGCGTCTCTCTCGTAAAAAAGTAGACTCTATGAGCGGGTCGCGCGGGGCGGCTAGCGCGCGTGCGCGGCTCAGTTGGCGAGCAGCAGGTGCGCCGGCGCGGGAGGGTACGGCGGCGCGGACGAGGGAGCGGGCTCGCGCCGCGCCACGAAGTACGCCGCAGGGTCCGCGGCCGGCGACAGCGCACGCGCCGCCAGCTGCTGCTGCACCGCGCGCTGCTTGATGTAGTTACTGAACTCGGTGGGAGACATGCGGTTCGCACGTTTGCTGCTCGTTTTCAACTTAGTGCTGCCGAACTTGGTCTGCGCGAATGTGGCAGTGGTGAAGGTGAGCGGTTGCGCGCGGAAAGGCGGCGCCGGCGAGAACGCAGCGGGCGTAGGAGGCGAAGGAGCTGCCGCTGGCTCCACAGGCCGGAAGCACTGAGCCTCGGGATTGAACGCGCGGGTAACCTGTAGGCGATAATGTCAAATTTAGTACGAAGAATTCAAAAATAATTTTCAGCATTTTCAGTCTTTTTTGGTGAAATTGGGTCAGTTACAAAAGTATTCCACTGAATTTCGGATTAGTACCTAGACTAGTCTTGTAGAACAATCAAATGGACGAACGTAAAACATATCTAGAGGTATTCCTAGACAAGACAAAACAGTCCGATCTCCGCGCGTAATGGCGTGATGTGAATGACATATGCTGTTTCAGCATTTTTTGCCGTTTAAGGAAGTCCACGTGGTGACATACTTGGAGTTGATATGATAATAATAATTGACATTTTCTCACAATTAATTTTATTGTTGTCATTTCAGTGACTGTCATCTACAACGTGCTAAAACGCGCAGTAAATAAGACATGTAACATAAAAATTATAATCTCTACTTTTTAATAAAATTGAAGCGTACCTCTCTATCAGTCCTCTCGTCAGCAGCTCGCTCGTCGCTGCTGAAGAGAACCTTCACTGCGCCCTTCTCGCCAATTCGGTATGACACTTCACCTGAAAGAGACAAAATAATCTATTATTTTCAACGGACTAAAAAAGTTTGATGGTGGCTCACATGTCTAGAGGCGAGTGGTAAGTATCCGTAACCTATAAATGTAAATAGTACCATATCACTGATTATACTTGTTACCTACTAGTAACTACTGGTATCAAAACGGCTGCGGTAGTGACATTATACTACGTTATTTATCATACTAAAGCATTGTGCCTCCCTATTCAGTAATTTCACTGCCAAATCTCATCCCTGAAACCGGAACATATACATTTTATAACAAAATCGCTTAGTGATAACAATAAGTGAGTCAGATATCCTTTAAGATTGTTTGGTTTATATATTTCTATTAATTCACTAGAAATATGGAAAGAGGACCTGAGCTTGGCAATTGGAATCGACTGGAGGATATCTACCACAAGCGACCTTATAGTGTGTACCGACTGCCACCGACCTCGTCTAATTGCGTGTTATGCAACGTCTTACGTATTGCACACTTGTTTGTTATTGATAGTGTATGATTTTTCACTTAACGCATCTGATCTAACTCAAAGACGAGATAACATATATTTAAATAGGTGCAAAGATTTGCGAGGTCAGGCCTTGATTGGCCATTGATTTGATGCTCCACAGATTCTCAAACTACTTTTGTCTAGGTAATTAATTATAAACCACATTTAGGAAGACTTATAAATTAGGACGCCGTTATAAATGTAATCAGAAGGCTCTACATAACGTAAAAGTAAGTGAAATATCGAATATTGCTTATTTTTGTTATCTAGAAGAGTTTTCAACAAGGCGTTACGAAAAAGATTCCTAATAGGTATATATATTTTAATATATTAAGTCCTTACCTGGATCAACCCAAACGGCCAAATCCCTTGGCAAATGCTCAAGCACATCCCTAACAGGTACTCCTGACTCTCTTGCTGCCCGTTCTAGTACGGGGTCTAAAGGACCCCCAGTCTTCAAGCAACGGAATGCGGAGCCACGGCATGGCCTCTCTGGGTACCAGTGCCCCCTGAACTTCTCTTTAAGCGCTTTTTCTAATTCTTCCCCAAAAATATTCACCCGCCGTCTCGGCAATTTATTGTACAGATACGATATGACGAAGTTCAGGGCCACTTGCACTTCAATATGCATTTTTTTGTTTCACTGTGGACAAAGAAAAAATTGCTATAAGAACACGAGTTAATAAGTAATAATAAGTAATAAAAAAAAAATACTTATTTTTTTTATATTAACTAGCTGATCTGTGCCTATTTTGTTGGGCTGTAAACATTTTCGACTACTACGAAAAAGTCTTTTCATTTTTCGGGTTAATATATAGTCTAACACGCAAATAAATTGGTTTTCTATTGGAAACAAGAGTCTTCAAAATTGGTCCTGTAGATCTAGTAATAATATTAGTAGGTATACATTAATATAATAATTTTTAAAAAGATATATGTTGAACTATTGAAACCGTGATATACGTTTTTAGTACGTGTACCCTCTTTTGTGTTGATGTCATGCGATTTGTTATCGTAATCGGCTCTTACATCCTGGGGATAAGAGGAACTGTTGAAGGATTGTAAATTTATTCTGTCCCCGTTTTGATTTCTCACAATCATGCTCTTTTTAATGACAAATACATAAGTTGACGGTCCAGGTAAATGAAATAATAACCGTCAGTTATAGACTTGAAGAATATCAGTTAAGTACCTTTAAGTATAATATCAAGAAATATTGTTCTATCCTCGTGCGTTAAGAACTAAGTAAATAATATCTAGATCATATAATCTCCTTAGATTTATCATAAATATTACGATATTTATATGCTTTGGGAATCTATTAAATTTAGTTGAAATGTGGATAATTACATTTAAAAAGTAGAAAGATTAGAAAGCATTCTTCAATCTGATTTGATTAACATAGGTACGACCGAATCAGTTCTTCAATTTATTTTCTTGATGATAGAGAGCTATAGAAATAAATTCAATTCTTTGTATGTTTTGTTACACGAGCGATATCTAACTGTTGTAGTTCGCCAGATATAAAAGCAAATTGATACAACCATGACATTGAGCATCGTCTAGCCGTGACATTCCAAATAAAATATTTATAAAAAGCGTTTCCGTAAGCAACCGAGTTATTACATCAAGAACTTATCTAATTCGGTTTGGCTACGCCCTGTAATCGATACAAATCGATATGATTCTGTGAATAGACCGTTATAGCCTATTTCAGCAATTTGCAAATATAATATTTAAATGGTGTTTATGTATTCAGTCGATTCGGAGTAAATGCAGGTTGTAAGCGTCTTGACTAGAATATTTTACAATGAGTATTAACGATGTACTTAAATAACTCTTTTATATCTCCTTATTTTTTCTATTTAAGTACTTTAGGAGTTTGGTTTTTTTTTTGTCTACGTTCTTATAAGGTATTTGTCACTTTAAAATAACATAGAACAACGATCATGGCATAGTACCACTAGTTTTAGTGAGTTTAACATAAACATATAAATTATTAGGATGAATTATTTAGGAATATAATAATGTGACAAAATAATATGATAAAAATTTCAAACTCATGGAAATTAGAGAAAAATAAACCGAAAAGTAAAAGTACTACTGAAACGTATTTTTCATTAGTAAAAGAAATCTATATCGTATTATATCGTTATCTTATGTATATCTTGTACTATTTAGTAAAATATCCTTTAGGAAAATCGCAATATACCTTGGCACATTTGCTTTCGGAACGGCTTTTAGTTATTAGCGGTAACTAAGCGGTATATCAAACTTTTGCTGTGCATTTATTGTTAGATATCACATTCGAGGTAAATGTTAGAATTACTTGTAATAGTCACGGTGGATTGTTATGATATCCGGTCGTCGCTCCCGCTACGACGCCTGTTTGTTGGCCAATGTTTCCGCGCAAAATTAACTCCGACCTCCATTAGTGAGTGGGTGACGCTATGGAAATAGACTCAGAAATTACTATGTGACAGTGCCGATATTCTACCGCATTGTACGCCGACAAAATAATTCTCAATATTTATTTTCATTTGTTTGGCGTCTTGTCAAACGGCTACAAAATGGAGGAGTTTGAACACATTTGATTGCGGTTTGAATGATGACTTATTTTTTTTATACAAATAAAATTTAAGAATAACTTTCTTAAATTTTATTTTGTGAATCACATTGTCGAATTTTGAATTTTAAAACTTTTTTTACATTCCAGATACAGTACATGTAAAAGAAAAACGTGTATACATCACTCTAATTTAGTATATATCTAATAAGAATGTAATTCTTATGTACATCATATAATAATAAATCTAAACTGAAATTTGAAAGATTTTGATATTATGGGGTCAGAGAAAAATAATATGTTCGTTTCGTTTTATCTTTTACAACTTTATGTAAGGTTATATACCTACTTGTCAATAACAGTAACTGTGATGTCATGAATTAAGTTCAGGTTCCATGCTGATATCCCGTGTTTTATCATTGGACTCGTGGAATGACAGCATAGTTTTTTTCCAGTCCAAAGTATACACATCCGCGTAACAATCTCCTTAATTTTTTTCAAAACAGTTTTTTTATTTATCAATTACTTGCTTATTTGTAACATTATAGATAAATCGATAAAAGTTGTATGACGCTATAAACTTTGTCCTGATACATATTATATAATAATAAAAGTATTTACTACCTATACCCGACAGATACCAAATCAAATCTGTTGGCAAAAGATTGAAATTATGTATTTTATGTTATTAGATGCAAAATATTTTTTTTAATTGGAGATGAGTACAATTTTTTTTAAAAGCGAGTTATCTCTTCTGTATTTATTGACATGTGTGGAATGAGATTTACTTTTATATCTATCTCTTTGTTACTTTGCTACTCAAACGCCATATAATCTATAAATAAATATTGATTATTTATACAGACAGTTTATTAATAAATCTCATTCCAAAATCCCTCTCGATTTCTTCCACTACCTGTACTCCTAACGTGATATTATAGACACATATAACTCTGCCTCATGGTAAAATTAATATTTTACCATGAGGCAGAGTCCTATTCTGTTGAACAGAATCAGGCAGCTACATTCATTTTAAACAAAAAAAGGGAATTCTAAATTCGTCTCCAATTAAAAAAAAACGGCCAGTATTTTTATACATACAAGGACTGATATTAAACAAACGCAACCCTAAGTTGCAGACCGTACTTAAAGACTATATTGCGATTTTACGAGTGAGGAAAAGTGGGGCCGTGAAATTGGCAAAGCCTTTTAGGCCATTTTCCCTATCGCTCGAAATACGGTTTGTTTTTGAACTGAGACTCTCATGTAAGAACATAGTGAAACTACATAGTAGCTGTCATACAATTTTATCAATATCATATTTTAATATCTTAGATACCGCCGTACTAGGTACCAGGTTTTGATTTGAGTATTAAATTGAATAGTATTAATTTTTCTAGATGATTATGTAGGTACTTATTTCTGAAACAAAGTCGATTTACCAATATGTGCTCTAAACATATGTTTAATTAATTACATAGTCAAACATTTACACTAGAAACTCAAGGTATTGCGAAAAAATAGGAATTTATTAATTTTATACTTAAATTGTTAAAAATATGTAATTCGTTAAAGACGGAGTAAACATGCTCTCCAGTGTGATCCTAAGCTCCTAAATAAATAAATAGAAAAGAAAACAATAATTATATTATTTTTGTCATTAAATAATGTTATAACGTATAGTAACATCCGAGAGTTGCGTTTGTAACGAAATATGTAACCGTTAAAATTTTACGACATCAACGCATAGTGACTGGCCTAATTTTTTTCAATGAGTCCTAAGTTTGATTAGATAAAGTTGCTTAGTTTCACATCATGTCACATGTCATAGGTTATCGTAGATTAAAGGCTACGAGAAGTAATTTAATTGTAGGTATTTTTGTAATGTAAACAAGAAGCATATCTTCTACGATCCCTTACATCCAGTCCAATAACTCATATGTGTTATGTAGAGATGGGAAAGTCACACTTAAAAAACCACTATATCATTGAAATGTCAATATTGCGTTTATTGATATCTTTTAATAACAATAAATCTGAATCTAACAGGCATTTAAAATACCAAAACAATATGAATACATACATAAATTGTTGCATAAAAATGTTTTTAATCTATGCGGATCGAATCTGCTTCCATAGAAGAATAGAATAAAATGAAATAGAATAGTCATTTCGTATGATAAACTGCTTATACGACGATGTAGGTAATATGTATGAACTGTAAAATACCTTCCAGAAACAATAAATCAAAATAAAACTACGTGTGCTGTAAACATACACTGATTTACGCTTTCGAATGCAAGTCAGCTATTCTATTCAACTCGGCTACTTCTAGAAGCAACTATATTTCTTAGCTGCGAGCCGTCGAGTTATTTCTCCAAGACGTGATCGTCGTTCGTATGAGACACAGCGGATTGATCACCTAATACATGTTACAATTACATTTGGTATTACAATTTCCAAGAGCGACGTTTAATTTCCTTACTCCTTAATTCTTTAGGGGTTACTACACAATAAAATACATACTTAGCAATACGCCTTGGCAAATAGTCATATGCAAACAATCCAATTTACACGATGATAATGTAGCTTTATGTAAGCTATAGGAATTTTAATGTTTATTATTTTTATTTTTTTATTTATAAACTCTTTATTGCACCAATAGAATTAATACATAAGAATTATACAGAAAAGAGATATGGAAGTACAAAAGGCGGTCTTATCACAAGAAGCAATCTCTTCCAGACAACCTTTGGGTAGAGAAAATATGAGGTGGCGCATGAATAGAATGGAAGAATATATATATAAAGGTAATAATAGGGATAGGATAATAATATCAATAAATATTAGAAAATAACACACATTATATATACTATATATAAAATATTAATCTAATGAAATATAATATTAATCATTTTTAAATTTATTTTAATTTTAGAACATCATTATAGTATCATCATTCATGGTTTATAAAAATAGGTATTTTTTAAATAAAAAGACAAGAAGACATTTTGCTATGGTAAAATAGAAACCGCAATGGATCTCCTCATGCGTGTTGTTTCAATATACGAGTACAT